CTGGAGGTGGGAACGCGGGTCCCCCGCGGGCAGAAAGCCGTTTCCGAGCGCCCGCTCAGCGCGCAGCACCAACTTCGTGCCGGCGGTGGCAAGACGTACCTTCGCCCAGCAGCGACAGCAGCAGCAGCATCCACCACCCGCCGGCGCTGGCCGTCGCCTGCGCCATCGCCGTGCGCTCCCGGGTGCGGGCTGCAGGGACTCCAGGTCGGGCGGGCGAGTTGCGGCCGCGGGTGCAGCGTTCAGCTCGGCCGCCCCATGCCGGCCCGGGGCGCTGCGGACGAGGTAGCCACTGCGGACTCGGGCGCGTCCCAGCGCTTGGCCGGCTGCTACCCTGGACTGAGGCGAGGCGGGTGCAGATGCCGGGTGGGGTAGGGATGGGGAGCGGGGCGGGGCTGGGGGCGGAGCGATCGGCCGCTTCTGGGGCAGGGTGCGGGCTGGCGAACCGCAGGGTGCGGACCCGGAGTGGTGGCAGCCGGGTGTAGGTGGAAGCTGGAGGTGGACCTTAGCGGAGCGGGTTGCCGGCCGGGACGGGGCATGGCGCCGGCCCAAGTGAGGCTTAGAATGGGGTAGAGTGTGGGCTGGAGAAGATTGAGAGGTGGGGCGGGACGGGGTGCTGAACACCAGCACCCTAGGTCTGCTTCGCAGGCACGGTCACTCCCACCATGAGCGCCAACTCACGTTCCCCGCGCCTCACTTTCCTCTGGTCTGGGAGGGAAGGAAGGCGGTGCGCTTGGCAGCATCCAACCTGACTTACTAGGCGTGTGCTTAAGTAGCCCTGGAAGCCAGGCAGGCACCTAGCCTACAGAATCTAGGTGCGGAGGGAGCTCTAGCTATTTCTCCGAAGCAGAGACGCTGGGAGAGTTCTGCCTTTCTTTGAGCCCGAGGTGGGAAACAAAGATGTTTGGCAAGGGAGAGAGTATCTGGTGGGTTCGATCTGGTGGGTTAATCAAATGACCTTTGATTAACAGCTGTGCTCTTAACCATTGCGCCACCAGGACCTCTTTCCCAGGAACATGCCCACCTTTAAAATGGGAAGGACTGAGTCTGAGGAAAAGTTGAGCATAGATTCTAGTCCCAGAGTTCTTCCCCCTACCCTCAGCTTTTGTGGTCTGGCCTTCCCATCCAGGGACCTAGAGATGGAGGAATAGGGTGGAATCCGAAAGAATGAAAGATTTGGGGGCTTGCTTGGAGTTCCCCAATAGCGGTGGTAGAATTAGAAGTCTCAGAAACCTCAGAAGCAGTGTCCCTGTTCCTGCTTCTCGATGGACTGTCCACAGAGCGTGGCTGCACTCAGGCAGAATAAGCAATTTGCTCATCACTCTGCAGATATGACATCAAAGTGAAGTCACTCCTGTGGGCAGAAGAAAGCTGACAAGACAGAGATTGACTCTGAGGCTTGGCCAACGGAGATGACTAGAGCTGATTTGCTGAAGGGAGGCCAAGACATAGGGAGTGCTAGCCCAAGAGGGCCAATCTGTTCCCACCAGAGCCTGTGCTACCTGCTGCCCACCCTAAGGACCCTGGGTCGAGGGGCATAGGAGCCTGGAGTTGACCCTGGTGTGCTGGCGGCTGGCAGGATCCTACACTGAGTCCTCTGCGCATTCCTGAACAGGAAATATCCTAAAGGTGGATTGCAAGGAGTGCTGGGGTGGGAGCACTTTTTGGTTACAGACAGACTCCAGGGGCTGCCTCCCAGGGAAAATGCAGAGGAGTGGGATGCCCTGGTTCAAGCTCCAACAGCATTACCCTCACCACTCCCCGGACAACCTTGATCCAGCCTTGGCTGTTTGCCTGGCTGGTTTCTGTGTGATGGTCTCACAGTCCGTTCTACCACCATGGGGAGTCATTATCCTCTCCCTGGAAAAAGGTCTGGGGCTGGAGGGTGCTCATATGTGGTACCCCTGTACACACCACACACACACACACACACACACACTTATGTGTCTTTCAAAGATGTGCAAAACATGCCGACAGTGTGTGCCTTCCCACACCTGCAACCCAGAAACAGACCAGAGTAGTGTTTAGTGAAGGTCAGCTTGGACTTGACTTGATAGTGATGTTTCTTTGTTTTGTTTTCCTTAAGCTGCCTTGCAACACTTAAAACAACTTTATATTGTGATTTAGGAGAAGGTTCACACAGCTGATCATGAGGTTTACACTCAACAATTCATACACGTACACATTGTTTCGATTCATCCACTACAGTCCCCACTTTATCCCACTTTCTCCCGGTTTCCTTTCTTCCTTCTTTTCTAGTATTCTGAACTTTGTAGTTGGCCAAATGCTGCCCTCTGAATCTTAAGTGATTGATTATTCTACCACAGGGTTGACTTAAAGTCTAGCCTGGAAGGGCCACTAAGAGCCATCGAATCAGGGATCCCATCTGTGTCTATCCAAGCCTGGTCTCTTTTATGATTTTTCTCCTGCTCTGCTCTATCCAAGATCTCCCAATGTGATCCTTTTCAGAGCAGTTGGTAGTACTTCCAGTCTCAAGGTTGTGGAGACTGATGTTTATAACGTTTGTTTTTTTAACAATTTTATTGGCATATAACTCACGTAGCATACAATTCAATAGTTCAATCATATCAAGAAGAGTTGTGCAATCATCACCACAATCAGATTTAGAACACTTTCTTCTATCTTGCACTCATTGTTATTAGCTCCCCGTTTCCCTTCACCCTTCCCTGACATACTCCCAAGGACCCATTAGTTACTGTCTCTGTAGATTTACCTATCCTGGATATGATATACAGAAAAACATTAACAAAAATAACTAACAACAATAACAAAGTAAAACTTCAAAATAAAAACCTGTTGAAAAGAAAGAAGAAAATATTAAAAATGAACAAATCTAAGATATATCAAAAGGAAGATCAAATGATAAGGTATTAAACTTTAACCTATCTACATCTGCAGTAATTCACTTTCCAGTGCACTCTGCATGATAGAAAGGGGAGTTACATTCCTGGTCTGTTGTTAGAGGGGATTCACTAGAGGGGAAATCCACAAGTATTTCCCCTCCACTTAAAAGCAAAAAACTGAAACAACTTTAAAATGGGTCAAAAGGAGATTAAATGATAATATTTATATTTTAATGTAAATACATCTGCCATAATTGATTTTACAATATTCTCTGTTTGGTAATAAGACTATTCACATCTCTCTACTATAGTCCAGGGGTTCACTAGGCTTAATCCCTGTTGTGACCCAGCAAATGGGTTTTGGCCTTACACTATCATCCATAGCCAGCAAACCAGGTGGTCACAATTAAAGCTTTGATACCATTCCCTCCTTCAGATTTGGAATTTATTATTTACAATCCTTGGATCACACAGACTGGAGTGCTTCTTCCATGTGGACTTAGTTGATGCCTCCCTTAGATGGCTGCTTGTTTGAAGGCAAGTCTTTAAGACACCAGACACTATTCCTTCTGATAGATAGACACCATCTAGTTCCTTCACCACACTTTGCTATAGCACCCATATATTCAATGATCTCTTCATGAGGGTGAGCATCAAGCAGAGCCTTGTTAGAATTGTTCAGAGAATGGGGCTAGAATTAAGTGCAAGCCCCAAGTTCATTAATATATCTAGATCTATATATGTCTCTGGTTCACCTTAGAAACATCAATGTCATTTTATGAACATTATCAGTCATTCCCTTGGAGCAGCACCATTGTCATCGAGTCAATGCTGACTCAAAGTGACTCTACTAGACAGGGTAGAACTGCTCCCCATGAATTTCTGGGACTATAAATCTTTATAGGAATAGAAATCCTCATTTTACTCCCAAGGAGCTGGCTGCTGGTTTCAAAATGCTGATGCTGAAGTTAGCAGTCCAATGCCTAACCATATGCTTGATAGTATCATTAATTTAGTCACTGGTATAGAACTCAAAACACTGTTGAGAAAAGGAAATTATGCAAGTATAGGGCAGTATGAATCACAAACATGAATCGTTGACTTTTACAGATTAAACTCCTAAGTGACTGGACACTATTTACAAAAAAAAAAATGGAGGTTGGTGATAGGGCAAATCTTTTAATAATATTAATTTAAAATGGCAGAGCCCTACCTACCAGATTAATATATGTCATAATGAAACAAGGAGTGCATGAAAATAGAAAGTATATGGTAGTTCTGGGCCACCATTCATTAGTCGCCCTCAAGGTAAGGTATTTGAACCAAGTCAGATGTCTGCCAGTTCTATACCCTTGGGCTGGGAGTCATCTGCTTCTTCTTACACTAGGGGATTTCAGTCTTAAGCCAAGTGGGTACAGGTGAGATTGAGGCAAAGCCCAGTTCTCTTAGTGGGGTTTCCACGTTGAGTCCTCCTTCATAGGTGTGGCTTATGAAGGATGTGTGCCTCAGAAGAACAGAGTCAGAAGTCCCAGAAGTCTATATCACATGGAGTGGATTACCAAGGGCTGCATAGAAACTAAGTCAAAAGTGTTCAATTAGGAACTTAGTACCAGGCATAGTCTCCCATTGAGTTCTCTGTAAGAATTTTCTCCTGATGGGAGATTGCTCCTCCCTGTTTTCCTGCCAATAGAAACATACTCGTCTTCTCTGAGGCATACATGTCCCATCCCCCTACCTTGACTTGAATATCCAGTACGGTTTCCATATCATTTTGGCAGGAGTGTCTGTTGAATTGGGGTGACCTTAGCACATATTTGTATGGCAACCACTGAATGATCTTCTCCCTCTCCCCACATCTTGAAAATCTGACCCCACTCCTTTGTTGAAGTGGTTTACTTCACTCAGCATAACGATTTCCGGGTCCCTCCATGTCATGAAGTACTTTGTAGCTGTTTTTAAGGGGTGTATAGAATTGTATGGTGTGTGTGTACCATCATTTCTTTGTCCATTCTTCTACTGATGGGCATTTGGGCCATTTCCAGCTTCTTGCTATTGTGAACTGTGCTGCAATGAACATGGGAAAGCATACATCTGTTCATATTCTATCTTATTTCTTTGGGGTATATGCCCAGCAGAAGTATTTCTAGGGCCTGTGGTATAGATTACCAGTTGTTTTAGGTAGTGTCAGATTTCATTCCACAATGGTTGTACAACAATGTTGTTTTAAGGATAAAATCAAATGGTGCATTGGCAGGCTTAGCACCATTGCAACTCAACACTGTTGAGTTAACTTTGGTTACATGGG